ATTTATTATAAGTTCCTAATAACGTTACTATAATTAAATAAAAGCTATATTAAAAATAGTGTAGACGTAGCTCACTTATAGCGGGTTTTAGAGAAAACCAGACTTTGCTTGGAACAGCGTTTCCGAGCCGAAAAGCTCTTCTTCTCGGAGCCGTCAAGCACTCCGGGGCTTCCGCCTCGTGCTAGGGAGGTTCCCTAGGCTTTTCGGGGGATTTCGGGGCTAGAGAGGTTCTAGAGAGAGAGAGAGAGTAAAGAGAAGAAAGAATGAGAAATGTGTGAAGAAAATGACGGTGGGAGAGGTGGTATTTATAGGGTGAAATGTGGCTGAACTTGGTGCCACATGTCACCATCTGCTGGCAAGCCTTGGGGAGAAAGCAATGGCCAAGATTGTGCCACATCATCCATTTTCGCACTGCACACTTCCGACTTCTAAAATCCATAACTTTCACATACGACCTCCGTTTTTTACGTTCTTTATATCCACACGTAGGTAATAATAATATCTACAACTTTCATTTTGACTCCGTCGGCTAATCTCGACCGATCTTAAATTTAACAGTACAAGGAGATTATACTGTTAAACGTCCGCGTAAAATTCATAACTTCTACATACGGACTCTGTTTTCGTCTGTCTTTTTACTGTTGATTTCCTATTAATGAGATCTTCAACTCTCATTTAGGTTGCGTAAGCCAAAAACCGCTCGAACTAAAATTCGAGTTTCGAGCCATGCACAGCTAAGCCGAATCTTAGAAAAATCATAACTTCCTTATACGAAGTCAGATTTGGGCGTTCTTTTTATGGATGTTCTCCGTTTAAAATATACTACAACTTTGGTTTAGATCACTAAGGCTAAAAATCCCTTCATCGTAAATTCACTATTTACGTCTCCCGGTGTCGTGTCGGTTTTGCCGTAAAACTTCGGCGAGCCATAACTTCTTCGTTATAACTCGGATTTTGGCATTCTCTATATCCCCGGAATCCTTGTTTTGACCACTACAACTTTATATAAAGATATCGGGCTTATCCCATAGTTTAATTTTGACGCTTATTTTTATTCTTTATTAATTATACATTTATAATTAAATAATAAGCACATAAATACACATAATTCAGATAATACTCAAATATTTCATCTTTATTACTTCAAAAAGAGTTACAAGAGTTTACCTAGGCTATTACATTGACAAATATGCTTAGTCCTGAATCCCAGACGTTACATGAATTCACTTGGGAGCGAGAAGATCAGATGTAACAAAAGTACCCGCATCTCTTCCCTTGTCCATTGGCACTTATTTTGTAATTAATTTCGGGACAAAATTCCCTCTTACGGGGGGATGATGTAACAACCCGTTATTTCGGGTCAATGTAATGTCTAAAATTCAAGTCTTGTAATCTCTTTGTGAAGTAATAAGAATATCATCAAAAATGAAATGTTCAAAAATCTCCGTTTGAGTACACTATGTGGTAGATATCATGATAAGGTTTCCAAAAACATAAAGAACACTAAAATCCGAGTTATAACGAAGGAGTAATGGCCAATCAAAGATTCGTAACAATACCGGTAAAACATTGTTAAGCATAAAATGAGAAATTTCAATAAGATACTTTTCAACCTTAGGTGTCTAAATGAAAGTCAAAGATATCCCAAAACCATGAACATACATAAAAAGAACGCCCAAATCTGACTTCATATGAGGAAGTTATGATTTTTGGAAGTTTCGGACGTAACAGTAGACAGCTAAAAACTCGAAATAGAGATCGAACGACTTTTTGCCAACATGACCTAAACGAGAATCGAAGATCTCATCGATTGTATTGCAACGGTAAAAAGTCTGATAAAAACGGATAACGGATGAAGAAGTTATGGATTTTTAACGGACTTTTCATGTCCCGGTCTTTTAAAAGTAAATAATAAAAATAATTTCAAAATTAACCGACGGAGTCTAAACGAAAGTTGTAGAGCTAGTCTCACCTACGCGTGGATATAAAGAACATCGACAAGGGAGTTCGTATGAGGAAGATATGAATTTTTAAATTTTATTAAATAAATAAATATAAAATTTAATTTAAATACCCAGTATTATCCGAAGGAGGAGGAGTCACCGGGCTGATCCAAGTAACGCCCAGCGTACTCGGGTGCTAGGCCTCGGATCATCCACGTCGCCCCTACGCCTCTATGCCCTCCCATCAAATGCTTCGTCTGAGGATGCAATAAGCAGTGACGCACGAGTACGCCCCGCGTAACCCCATACGCCCAGCGTACCGAGGCGGTTCAGCCTCCTATAAAAGGGGTGCGAGGGTTCCGGGAAAATTTGCTCAATTCCTCTCTTTCTCCTGCGTTTTTACTCCGTTTTGCATACAAGCAATATCCCGAAGCCCAGGTTTTCATATCCAAGTCCCGAAGGAAGTTTCAGCTCTCGAGATTCCCAAGAATCCCGAGAAACCCGTTTTCTCTAGTTCAAGTTCTGCTCAATTCTTCTCTCAACTACTTCAAAATAACCACTTCAATCAAGTGATTTCATACCCCTTTTATACTTCTTCAAATACGTTATAATGTTCTTTTAATACATTTCAGTGGAGAATACAAGTAAACACCCGGTTAATCCCGAGTGAAAATGTAAAAACTCTTGTTATACCTTACATGTATTAGATTTACACAAAATGCATAGTATCCAAGGTAGCCATCCTTGTTAAACCATCTTATGCATTCAAAGAACTTATGATTTATGCTTTGTCAAACATTGTGAAAGAGGATAAACATTGCATAAAAAACTATCATTTTAATACAGACTTAGTCGAGAATCCGTGAGACAATTACATCTTCAATGCTACCTTTTTGTTAAAAGGTACTACCTAAAGTTCTGTCTATTATAACCAGAGTCTCCCGTTTGGCGAGCGTGTCAAATGTGTATAGATCTATACGGGAAGTCATGATCCCGCGCCTTGACTGTTAGCTATAGTCCTTTGGGTGACAGTTTTTCATAACGCTTCGACGCCTGAAGACCGTCGCCACAGGCATATTATGTTTAGTATGGTTATAAAACTCACCGGATAGACAATTATTATAGTATTCTGCTTTTATGAATAAGTAGTTATTAAAACTATTCTTCATTTAACAAGTGCGATCTTCTTATAGCTTTATTTTATAAAACTATGCCTCAACCTTTTAAGCATTTTAGTTGCTTTCGATTTTCGGTCTTGGACATTAGCGACTTCCAATTACTTTAGGAAAATAAAGGATTTTCCTGTATCCAAAACAATCAACTAATAGGAAAATAATGGATTTTCCTAGTACAACTATTTACATTTCACAACACGAGCATTCATATGCATTTCATACTTTTATAAGAAAATAAAGGATTTTCTTGGAAAAACGCACGAACTTTGGAATAACATACATTTTTCTCAAAACCGCTTATGAACTTACCAACTTAATTGTTGACACTTTTTCTTTGAAATAACTTGTATTCTCAGGGAACCGCTAAACAGGTTTGGAAACCAACTTTTGAGGATTAACGCTCTGACGTTAATTACTTCTTTTGAAAGATGTTTATGTATTTATCTTTTGAACATGTAACGAATACAATAATGTAAACATTTTGAAACCTTTATATGTAGGGTGGTGTGTACTTTCCTTACTATGAACTGTTATGATACTGAAAATGACGTCATCTGCCCCCCGAACGTTTCCACCGTTCTAGTTTGGGGGTGTGACACCGCCCCCTAGCACTCGCTAGGGGACTCGCCAAGGAGAAGATGCTACAAAGGTAGCAAGAGGAGAAAGAAGCGGGAGCTTGGTTGTGATTGGAGAAAGCCTGGAGCCCTAAATTCGCCATTTTCTCATGTATGAATTGTTGTTGCCTTCTTCATCATCACAATGTTTCTACCTTCCTCCGGTGACCCCAATTGCTAATTAAGTTTTTTTTACTCCAAGGATCTAACTGTTAAATTTTTCAATGTTCTTCATTTTTAAGATGAAAAACAAAAACATAAATGGGATCACTAAAATTGGGAAATGGAATTGATGATTTCAGTTTCTTCTTTCACCCAATGATTGAACAGTATTTTGCTCTTCAATTTGGAGATGGAAAACTGAAATGAAAGTGGCAAAGGGACCTTGGCAAACTCTTTTTTCTGGTTCTGATCATCTTGGAGTGAATAAAAATGAAGATGGGCAAGAGAGGCTATATATGTCAATATGCCCACCAAGTAATGCATGATTGACAAAATCATTTTCAACACTTTTAAATGGTATAAATTGAAGTTCCTCTCTAGCCAATTGCATTTGAAATGTTATAAATAGTTTGATGGTTATAATACTTAACTAAATTTGAAAAATAAAAAAATGTTAGGAGTGTTACCACTCCCTACCATATGCTAAGAATGAGATGCTAAAAGAGAAAAATGACATGATACCTCCTAAAAAGGTGATGTGACAAGGTGTTAGAAGTGTTGTCACTACGTCTAGCCTTAAACTAAAATTTCAATTATAAACATTGAATACATAGTTTTAAGTTTGACATGTTTGTATTTAGGATAAAACAACATAAATTAAACGAAATTAGTGTTAAATAACGAAAGCATAAGAATGCTTACCACAAAAGTTTTTTTTATAAAAAAGATTATTTTGACCACATAAAAAACAAATGAAATTTACTCCACATTTTTTCAACCAAGGTTATTCTTATAGGTGAAGGCAGAGTGAAGAAAGTCCTTTATCCATCCATCCGATTATTGAGGTAAGAATGTTTGACGATGTCAATTAAATAGTAACCACCACCTACAATCCGGTTGTTTTTCTTTCACTATACATTCGGAGTTGTCAACTTTCCACTTTCTACCCACCAATCATTGTTTTTCTCCAACACTACCATCATCACCATGCATGCAATCACCCAACATTCCATTCTCACCACCCAAAATTCCCACCATTTTCCCAATTCAGACACCGGTCTGTTTCTTCACGGAGCTATCTTCAATTCCGATCGGCATAAGCAAACATGTCCGTTGTTTGCCGCCGCCGTTACCACAGCCTCCTCTTCCTTTCCCTCTTCCTTTTTTTCCCTCCATGTCTCTCTCAGCAGCCCCCCTCTATGGCCCTCCTCCATTTCAAGAACTCACTTTCCAAATGCGATTCGTTAACCAATTGGAAAGACGATGGATCCCATCCATGCGACCCAAATAACGTGTGGATCGGAATCATCTGTTCCGATGGCCAGATTAACAGCATCAACCTCGCCGGAATGGAACTCCAAGGACAACCCGACATTGGCGCTTTGGAGTCCATTGATGGGCTTAAAGCTATTAGCCTTGAAAACAATGCTCTCGTCGGACCCATGCCGGAAATCAATCGTCTTCGTTTTTTAAAAGCTTTCTATGGCGGTAGCAATTGGTTTTCCGGCGTCATTCCTTCAGACTTTTTCCAGACCTTGGGCTCCTTGAAGAAGCTTTGGTTACAACGTAATAACTTTTCTGGACAGATTCCAATATCGGTTGGAGAGTTGCCAAATCTCAAGGAGCTCCATTTAGAATACAATGAATTTTCAGGACCCATTCCTGCTTTTTTAGACCCAGATATCCTAACCACGATTGATTTATCCAACAACAGACTACAAGGAGAAATACCCAAAAGTTTAAAGAACTTTGATGCCAAAGCGTTCGATAACAATGCCGATCTCTGTGGTGGACAATTATCAAGAGACTGCAACGCACCTCCAAATCGACCGGGATTAGAAGACTCAACGGAAACAAAATCATCAACACCATGGATCATTATGGTTGTCGTTTTGGCTTTGTTAATCCTCATCATTTTTGCCAAAGTAAATCAAATAGATGAAGATTATCATAATAAGAGACCTAATTTGGGGAAGGGAGGTATTAATGAAGCTGTTGTCAACATCCCACCCGTCATTAATAGATCCACAAGCTCTGGTAAGAAACCGCAGACTAACATAGAGCCCCCAAACAATAACAATAACAGCAGCGTCGCCAGCAGCAGCGCCACCGCCGCCGTCACCCCCGCCCCACTCACCGCCACCGTCACCCCCACCCCACCCACCACCGCCACCAACATTACCGTTAACCCTAGCACCAACGTCAAGGAGACCAAAGATCCACCCGCCCGCACAGCCAAAAAAGTAATTCCTCAACTACCAGTGCGACCGGCGGCAGGAGACCTCGTGATGGTGAATGAAGAAAGGGGAATCTTTGGGTTATCAGACTTGATGAAGGCTGCAGCCGAGGTGCTTGGAAATGGCGGATTAGGGTCTGCATACAAGGCGGTGATGCAAAATGGAGTGTCCGTGGTGGTGAAAAGGGTGAGAGAGATGAACCAGATGACCAGGGAGGTGTTTGATACAGAGATGAAGAAGCTAGCGAGATTGAAGCACCAAAACATATTAACACCATTGGCATATCATTTCAGGAAAGAAGAGAAACTCATGGTGTCGGAATATGTCCCCAAAGGCAGCCTTCTCTATGTTTTGCATGGTGAGAGCTTCTGTATAGAATCTGCGATATATGACTATTATAGTATTATATTTTTTCCTTTTTTTTTTTTTTTATGTATACAACATGTTATGAACTTATGATTCGTATATACACTTATATACAGGAGATCGTGGGATCTCCCATGCCGAGTTAAACTGGGCTAACCGATTAAAGATTATAAAAGGAGTTGCACGAGGAACAGGTTTCCTTCACTCAGAATTTTCATCGTATCCTTTACCTCATGGGAATCTGAAATCGAGCAATGTACTGATTGGGTCAGACTTCGAACCACTTCTCAGTGATTACGCTTTCCATCCTATGGTTAATGAAACACCTACAGCGCAATGCATGTTTGCTTTTAAATCGCCGGAAGCGATGCTTTACCAGAAAATTAGCCCAAAAAGCGACGTGTATTGTCTCGGCATCATCATCCTGGAAATCGTGACAGGGAAATATCCGTCGCAGTATTTCAATAACCAAAAGGGTGGAACGGACGTTGTGCAATGGGTACGATCGGCGCTTGCAGAGAAGAGGGAAAAAAGCTTAATCGACCCGGAGATATCATCGGAGGGGGAGGCGTCTGTTGCACAAATGGAGAAGCTTCTCCGTGTCGGAGGTGCTTGTACTGCAGATGAGCCGGATGAAAGAATCGACCTAACGGAAGCAATAAGAAGAATTGAAAAGATAAGTGTTTGATGGAGTAATTTTTTTTTTATATGAATTGGACTTCTGAGGAAGGACGTGGCATAAAGAAGGCTGGGGTGAAGCCGATGGATGATGACATCAAGGAACGAATCTAGTGAGAGCTCTCGCCTTCACATGCAAGACTACATTACGTAGATCCATAATCTTGTTTTACTTAGATTAGGAACATTCTTGATTTCTTGTCAAGTGAAGAGTGTGGAAACAAACATGTCTGAATCAAATAATGAGTTGTTATGCATGTAAATGCAACACATGGCTCGCAATCAAATCAAAGAGAAAATGCATTCAATAGCAATTGTGTAAGTGTATCCCAACAAATTGATTATTTGAGGCAAGTTAAAGGTCTGCACGGCTTATGTAGGTAATTTAGGTAAGGAAATAAAAGTATATTGCTATTGATATTACCGGTAAAAATAGAAGTAGATTGTCTATATCAAATACATTTATCATCTTGCGGTAAGTTTATTTATGTTTTAGAAGAACTTTATCTAAAACCATTGCTTCATATCTGGCATTGTGCCACATCATGTATATTTAACTTATTCTAACAAAAATAAGCTTTAATTTCCAAATGTAATGAAAATTAGACACATATTCCCCTCTTTTCCAATTAAGTATTGTCCGGACAAATTATATGTAGCAGTAGGGGTGAGATTTAGACCTGATTTTTCGAACCGAACAGTTACAATATTTTATATTTTGTTGTGATATGTCGTTGAGACTTAACGTCGTCACAAGTTGCCTTGTCTAGGTTAAGCCTGAGAATTACAGCAAAGAAAAAATACACGTCAGACTTCGTACGGGAGGGGATCTCGGAACGAAGCTCCGACAGTCTATTCAGTATCTAGATGAGAGAATTAGGGTTTGGCTCAAGATAGAGAAAGAGGCGATCCCTTCTCTTGGAGGAGAATGATTTTTTTATACATGTTGCCGTGGGGACAGACCCCCGGCAATACCTTCTGTCCTTTATGATCCGACAAGACGTGGATACATCTGATTGGCAGATCGTGCTCCACTAGCGGTTACTCACTATTGGGGCATAACTACCACAGGGCAACGTATTGAGTGCTACATCTGTCTACCTAGGAGCATCTAGTACTATTTTGTCTTTCTGTAGATCGGCGCTTCCCGTTCTAGGTCTAACCTTGGTGCTAGGGCACCAATACAGTGCGAGGCCATGGAGGTGAGGGTCCGGGCCTAACAATTTGCCGAGCGGCGACCATTAACTAAGTCATCCTTAGATAGTGGACTCGTTATTTTTGACGTATTCCTAGTGAGATACGTTAACAAGTCCCCTAAGCTAGTAAACATGTGTATTGGGGTGACATAGCCAAGTTGTTCTAGCCTTGATCTGGACATGCGTTTGGTGGAGATGGTTTTGACATCTGCTGGTGTGACAGAGTCGTTTTGTTCAGGCGATTTTTACTGCGGAAACCGTTCAATTCTCCTGCTTTGCATTTTGAACTACCCCTATTTAGGGATAATTGTATTCTTCGTGTTTCCTACACTCTTATTTCCTCAGTTTTCTTCATCACCTATCTTCCCCTACTGTTCTTTGTTCTCAGTTTACATTGGCCTTCGTCCAATCTGGGCGTGACCCAACACCAGAAGAGTTCAAGTCCCTTTAGTGCTAGTTTGGTTTTATGTCTAAACACGGAATGTAATTCCCATAGGGGGGCTATAATTAATCAGCCACTAGTAGGGAAGGTCGGGGTCCTTGTGTCAATCTTCGAGACAGTATTTTGTCTTCCGATATAAAATTTCTTTCATGAATTCGTGCGAGAGTATGGTTTTTCTGTTCACGACCTTACACCTAATGATGTTAATAAGAGCGTTGGATTGAAGTTGGCTTGTCGAGCCATGGGTGTGCTACCCTAATTTCTAGCCTTCCAATCTTTTTGCAATTCATCCACTCAATCTGGCGTTTATACTTTCTCTCAAGCATCATAGTGCTCACGCGTTTTTTGTTAACTAGAAGGCACCTCGGAAGAACTGGCAGGATTGATGGATGTGGGTCTGCAGCAACCTGATTGGTCCCGGCTATCCCCGCGTGCTTATCCCTTCAAATCAGGTGCCTACATTGTCGGGCAACAGTTTGTCTGTGGCTCAAACGTTGAGTGGGGGGGTTGCTTCAATGAGGAAGATTGGTAGGATTGCATTTAGCGACAATAGGGATGAGTGCTGCTTGGCGAGAACGAGGAATGATGCCTCAATTTTATGGGGAGAATGACGGTAAGTATCGCTTCCCTGCCACTCCCATCCCTCTTTAGAGAGTCTTCCTTTGGTTTGTAGGATAGTTGTTTGATTTTTGTTGTTTCAATTGCAGGTGTAACAGTCCAAATCATGTATTACACTTTAGACCCTTGAAATGGAAAAGATGGCATAAAAGGTCCCTTAGTACACGGGGCATACTCTATGAGTACGCTTAGCGTACTAAGGATGCATGAACACGGAAGGTGGCCGCGTATGCAGGGCGTACGTATAGGTATGCGAGGTGTACGCGACAAAAGGCCAAAACCCTAATTCTCGGACTTGATGCCAATTTAAACACCCTTAAGCCTCTTAGACCAAACCCTAATCAGCCTCCATAACGTAATTTCACCTTTCTACACCAGAGATACCTTGTGAGAGTGTTTTTAAGCTTAAGAACTGCATTTGTGGCCATTTTAGAGTTTATTCAAGAAGAAGGAATTGCTTAGGAAGCTTGGATTGGCATTGGGATTCAAGAATCTACATCTAGTTCACCTTGAAGAGTATATGGAGGTATAAAGTCTTGATCTTGCCATCTTATTCACTGGGTCTAGCTAAGGTTTCTATATTGTCCCTTTATTGGTTTTGGACCTTCTCTTGAGAGTTGAGCAACTCTAGAGACTGAAATGATTAGATCTGAGATTTGTAAGCATGCTAGATGCATAAAGGTACAAGCTTGAAGAGAATCTAGACTCCATGCCTGAGTTTGAAGCTTTATATGAAGTCCTAATGTGAAGAATGAACTTTTTAAGTTGCATATATCATGCAAGGGCATAAAGTTGCCAACTTTATGCCCTAGGACATCTTAATGAGCTCAAATATGATATTGGACGTTAGAATATCGAGTACTAAGCACTTAATGGAAGAATGTACTTAATCTGATTGTATGTTGGGCATAACTTAGAGTACGCAGTGCGTACGGTTGAGGGACTCAGCACGTTGTGCGTACCAGAGTGGTACGTAAGGCATACGCGCCTCAAATGGGCTCGGACTTGTTTTGGGCTTGTAAGCCCTTTGGGCCTTAATTATTCATTGGGCATAGTCACGTTTTGAGTTAGTGGGCCAGTTTATCTGTTTTGGGCCATCGTTACTATGGTTGGGCTTTATTGGGCCATGAGGCCTATTAATGATTTTGGACATGGACTTTGGGCCTATTAGCAAAGGAAGACTTTTTGGGCCATTATGAAAGGACTTGGGGTTTGGGTCCTCTAATTGGTTTATGTTTAAACCCTAACTTGGGATAATGGTATTATTGTTTAGTACGAGTGGTCACAGACTGTTAGTAGAGTAGCTTTCGGATTCAGTAGACAGAGGTGAGTCTCTTCATCATACCAACGGGTTGAAGGCACCAAGGCCGACCCATTATATGTTATGTGGATACTAATCGATTACATGATATGTGATATGTTAATTATCTTTATGATACTTGTATGGAAGACCCCGAGGGGTTCCCATGGCAGCAAACTAAGACCATGTGGGCTTTCCCATGGCATTCAGTGTAAGACCTTGAACGGTTTCCATGGCATCCTAGTATGTTGTGCTAAACTAATATATGTTGAATTAGGTTAGTGTTATCTAAACAAAGTTGGTATTGGAAGCCTAATTGTAACATCCCAAATTTCGAGTCCAAAAATTTCATTTTAGTTAAGTAATTTATAAGACTGGTTACTGAAAACATTGTCTATAACATATCAAACCATAAATCATCAAAACATGTCTCAAGTTAAAACATCGAATAGTAATAAAAGTCAGAGTACAATCCGATGAATCACGTAATGCGGAAATCTGATGTGTAGCTACCGCGCCGACTCCTTCCCTTTCGATGAAGAGGTACCTCAAACAAAATTGAAAACTATAAACACGAAGCTTAGTGAGTTCCCCCATCATACCAAACACATAAAATAATACACTATCAGACAATTCTGGGGCGCCTGACTTACCTAGGTCAAGCCGTTCTGGGATGCTTGACATATCGGTCTGTCTATCTCACCCAACTATCGGGGACTATTTCACCCCCTACCGCTACCATGTAATAATATAACACATAAATGATGCTAGGCAGTTCTAGGGTACCTGACCTACCCGGGTCAAGCCGTTTTGGGGTGCTTGACATACCCGTCGGCCCTCACGTCCGACATACGAGGACTATTTCACCTCCTACTACTACTTTAACATATAACATATCATACTAGCACATAAACATATCAGGTAGTAGAGAACCTAGATGAATATCACAAAGACAGTCATCCCATATACAGCTCCTACTGGTGGGTCGACATTGTGGCCGTAGACCCATCGCTACTAGAAGGTAACTCACCTTGTGATACTGCATGTCTAACTCGTGGATGTGGTCCCTAGCAGCTGCCCCGAATAATCCTGCCTATCATGAACATATTAATACTAAATCAGAGTCTATAACATTATTTAGGGTAAAAAGACCATTTTACCCCTTTAGCCCAATTTGAGAGTATTCAAAAGACCCCACTCTAGCACATTAAATCCAATGCACCAATAGCCCATCAAGACTCTTTAAAGGTCCACTAATGGTCTAATTTTCCAAATTAGGCCCAACCCCTTAGATGGGCCTTTTTCATAATTTCTACTAAGCCTTTAGCCTAAAACAAAATAATCCAAATTGCCCAACATGGCCCAAGGGCCCAATGCTTCTATTTCCAGATTCCTAGGCCTAAAGTTATGCTTTACAATGGGCTATGAGGCCCAAAAGTCTAGGCCCAACCTTCTAATGCCCGAAAACCCAAGGAGTCCACCCTACATGCGTACGCGCGGCATACCTAGCATGTACGCCCGACGTACGCTGGCCTTGACCTCATACGGGAAGTTAACCTAGTACGTGCAACGTACCAGGGAGTACGCCCAACGTACTAGCCAACTTCCTTGGGGCTTCACCCATGACTTAATCCATTTAGCCTTTACGTCCAAAATACAGATCCAGATCCTTTTAGACCTCTTACACCATAAAGTCACGAACTTTATGTGCTTGCATGCAAGATTAGGGAAAAAACATGATTTTGGTCCATTAATCCCACTTTATGACCTTCTAGCCCTTGCATGGTTTTGGCTTAACAACCAAGATCCAATTTTTATGACTCTAGGTGCTTCCAAGA